CCCCGCGGACTCGGCATCGCCCGGGGATGTGCATCTATCTTACTCGGGCAGGATCCCTCGGACGGGAACGCGCGGCGCCTCGTCCACGTTGCGCGATGCCCGGGTGGGGGCAGAGGATAACTGGAGCTCTAAGTCCGCGGGAGTTAAGTCGAGCGGAGCGAGTTGGCCGGCACCAGTGCGACCTTTCCCGCGAGCGCGTCTGTCTCCTGCTCCACGGACGTTCACCAAAGAGAAGAGCCGCGAGGAGATTACGATTGAGAGGGATACGGAGAAGGCCTCCTCTGCCTCGTCCGAATTGCGGATTTTAAAGAAGGACATGACGCTGCTCCTCCGCACACTGGTAATCATAGAATTTTAGCGCTGTTTATTTTAAGGTATTCGAGACATTTATAATTTCAAACTCCGCGAGTCTCTGGTGTGCCATTGGGGGAAGATCGGCTGGATGGTAGGGATGTGTGATAAAACGATATTTGGTTATTATATTGTTGTTGTTCAGATATAGCGCAACGTGGGAATTTTCAAAGTGTATTGCAGATGTTGATGTTATAGAAAATATTTCATAAAAAAAAATCAATTAACATATTGTGATCTGTAAGTAGACAATTTTCATGTAAGCATTAATCAGCGAAAAATAGGATAGACATTGAAATAACCATGGTTATTGGTAATCGACAGCTAATACTATTATCTATAAATTTAGCATAGCCTGATAAAGCTTAACCTTCGATAACTAATTTCCCTCTTATTTCTAAAGATCATTTAATTGCTTTAGTAATGTCAATATTTTATAAATAATTTAACATTATTCTACCATATTTTTATATCGAATAATATTGATATCATTAAATTAATTATGTAATAAATATGATAATTTTGCCGTGAAAAAAAAATTGAAAAACAGCCTGTATACATAACAAATGAATGTGAAATTTTAGTTTTATTAATATTATTTAGCAAATGGCTTCCGACTAATATGAACTCAACAATTTATTAAATTAAAATTTCTAATAACATCGGGTTTGTTCATATAAATTTAATAAATACGACAAGACAACTATAAAAAAAAATATTTATTATATAAAATTTGCAAAATTCACATATCTTTGTTAAAAGTCAAATATAACAAACTTTGTGTAATTGTTAAAAATTATTATGCACATCAATTGTTAATGGCAACAGATTCATATCTGCGCTTTTTCGTTAGAGATAAATTTAAATGCAATAATTTTTATTTCATAAAAAATTCATGTATTTAATACTTTATAACTTAAATTACACGTAAGGATAAATTAAAAAGAAAAGAAAAACTAAAAAGTAAACTATTGAAATCCACAATTAATACAAAATACAAAATCTATAGTTTTGTATATATATTTAATAGTTTTTATAAAAGTGCTTGTTTTACTTTAAATATCAAAACGAATTAATATTTCCAATAGATGCATTTTCAAATTTCTACTATTATCACGACTATTGATTTTGTTATTTCTTTTATTGAAGTAGGCATTCAAATAATGTTTTTTTTTTTTTCTAAATTTTTGTATCCAATCATGGCTAATATAGAGAAGAAACGAAATGTAAATTATTTTTTCAGGCCTAACAACTAACTTCTCTTTCCATAATTCAATTCACATAAGCAATAAATGTAATAACGAGTGATTCACGGACTGCGTGTACTACAATTTATCTACCTAAACGTAATATTTTTAAACGTAAATGTACATAATTTTTATAAAGTGCAATTTTATCTTAATAGTAGATAATAATTTCACACGTGTGAAATTATATTTCGAATCTTGTCGAATCAAATGTGTCCTTAATAATTTAATGTTTTGGTAAAACGACAAAAGTAATATCCGAAATAATAATATTAATAATCAAAAGGAAGTTTGGAAAAGCAATCGTTGGCCAAGCTCGATTTTAGCTGGCTCCTATGCTTGACTCTCATCTTCAAAGTAATGATCGCACTTGACCTGGTTAACTCATCGCAAAACGACACCCGATCCCATTAATCTAAATAGCTCTCTGTGGAAGTAGAAAAACATGTCCTTTTTTCCAAGCTTCTCAGCTTCCAATGCTGCTGGATGATTTACACGGCTTTACGAGAGTCTTGCCTTCTTCTCATACAAAATCAAAAAGAAAAAACAGTTCTTCGATCCGGTTCTCGCGAATAGGAGGCTCGCCGATAATGGCGACAAAACTTGATATTCATCGGTTTCTGCGCTCCTCGCAATCACCAGGTCAGATAAGTAACACCTTGTCTTATGTCCCGTATCCCTCAGCTTCATCATCCGTCACTCCCTAGTACTGTGTGCAACCTTGAAGTTCAAGTTGAGCTGGTCACTCTCTCGATACTTTCTTCTGGTTTCTTATTTATCGCACTGTGCCACAGTTGCCGCGTGCATTTTGCCTTTGCACAGAGAAAGTCATCTCCGTTTTCCCTGATCAACCCGATTCACACTGTCTGCCTCTCGCTCCCAAATACGTAACATAGCCGGCTTTGCCAACTAACTAAGAGGACGAATCTTCAATTCTGGCTCTAGGACTCGATTTTTCTACCTCTGTTCAAGCTATATAACCGGAAATGAACTCTTTTCGACTCGATGAATGTCATAGATCAACAGGTATCACACAGACGAGCTCGCGCGCACACACACACACGAATGAGTTCACTATATGTTCTAGGTATTTGTATATTTATAGCTTTACAGCTTCATTCAAGACCAAATTCTTTTCATAAGAAAATTTATAAAATAACATCAACTAAATATAAAAAATCTATTTGTATTTCAGAAAACCGAATCAATGGTAGTATATGATGTTTTAATTTATCCGCTATTGGATATAATGTGAAAGGAATTGGTGATTTACAAAATTATAAAAAATAATACTAAATAAATAAAAATTAATAACTAAATAAACTCTTATGGATTATTATAAATTATTTTATAATTTATTAATTAGTATTTATATTTTATATTTTATTTATTATATTAGTATAAGTTATTATAATTATTCATTTTCTTTGATATAGTAATATATCTTAGATTTGATATAAATGAAAAAATTACTTAAAGACTACGTACTAACATTGACAATAGAATATTTAAAATGAACTTCAAAGAAAAAATGGCATTCAAGCCCGATAAATTTTTCAAATAGTGTATAATTTCCATATATGTTTAATAAAATTTCAAGCATACCAATTAATATTATACGTTTAATACTTTTTGCCATTATCTTTAATTATCATAGATTTTGCACTTTAAACTTTATATTTATAGTTTAAATATCTATATATCAAATAATTATTATATAATATTCTCTATAGAAATACTATAATAACTATCAAAATAAATAATTAATTTTTTAATGCAATTTTTAAGAAAAGAAACGAATGAAAAGCATAAATTCAAACGTATCGCGATTGTTCTTTCAATAATCAATTTACGTGTTAAATATTATTTTGGCAAAAGTAAATATACGTCATGTAAACTTTTAACGATAACACTGGCATCTTCTTTTTACATAAATTTTTATATAAACTTTATTTGAAAAATTAAATACGTTTAAATGAGAATTTTTATCGGAAATTGATAAAAAATGTTATTTAGTACAAATTCTTTTCGTGTAATTAATTGAATTACATTACCCATGCATACAGACGGTAGGATTAAAATTCAAATTGAAAATGTTTGACGATTGTCCCAGTTATTATCCTATTAATAATTGAATAAAAAATAAATCTTCAGAACGATCAGAAAAATAATAATGAATATGAGTGAACATATGAAATTAATTGAAAGATTTATATTTATTTGAAGTAAAGAATAATTTTTAGTTCTATCAAATAATTGATAATATGATAGGTTTTATATTTCTCAACTATTATAAAAATTAATTTTTTAATATCATATTATTTAATCTTTTAAATATATGTGAATAGTTTCTTTAATCTTAAATGTATTAATATATAATAAATACATTTTGACAGCTTAATACTTACGTTTGAATAAAACATAATACTTTTGTAATTTAAGAATTAATATCTCCTAAGGAAAATTACTTTTATATAAATAATTTTATAATTCTAATATATATATATATATATATATATATATATATATATAATTCTATATTCAATCTAAATATTTATTTTTCGTGCTTTAATAAGATAAAAACTTTTTTATTTTCATAAAATTTTCAAATTTCTATTACAAATATTATTATCCAAGTCGTACGTATAATAATTATTGTATTATAGGAGATTATGTTTACAAAAATATTAAATGCAGGTGTATTAATAATTCATATTTTATTTTATTATATTTCATTAATATTAAGTTTCATTATATCTTTATTACAAATACATTATTTATAATTTGAATAATTAGTTATTTTTATTCTATATCATTAATTTAAACCTATATTATTTTATAAACAATACTGATATGGAACAATAGGCTATCAATTATAATTTTTGAATTTATATATTAATTTTAAGAAGGGATTTCGGTAAATGAAGTTAGAAGTACAAGAAAATTGTCTTAATAAATAGTTTAACCATTTTACATTTTCACGGTGTAAATTAATCAACCAGTCACATGGTGACCGTCTAGCTTCTTTAAATGATGTCCACTTTTTTCTTAATTAAGGACTAAAATGTCTAAAGCGTCACATAATTTTCTTTACAATGCCGTTAGATTTATATTTTCAGCGAAGTGGATCGACTCGGACAAAGTGTTGCGAGGTATCCCAAATGACTTGAGATACTCAGAAAAGTATGTCAGAAATGAGAACTATTCTAACTTTCCTAGCTGAAGAAAGAGGGAGAAAAGTTGTTCGCTACTCCGACAGGATCCGAGTCGGGTTTTCTTATATACACCAAAGCTTCATACTTTCATGTGGTTATATGTGTATATGCATGGGTCGAATAAGCATATAATAATATGGGAGCATGCATATATGCATATACATTTATGTGCTTTTAAGAGTCGAATATCAACATTTGTGATGATTTTTTAAAATAGTTAACATGATTTTTTTAAATTTTATATTCAACGTATCATTACAATGACAGAAATAAGTTGTATTAATAAGTAAGAAAATCAAAAGATAAATTGTCGAAGATAATAGCTACGCAAAAATTCTAATTCAAAAGATACTAATACACTATTATACTAAATTCATTCATGTATAAATATATAAATAATAAATGATATTAAATAAAAAATGATTTTTAAAAGCTGTTAAAAAATTAATTACTCTGTCATTAATTATATTAAATGCTTTTTTCAAGTTAAAAAATATTTCAAAAAATGATAAATTAACTATCATAAA